AGGATAGCCTGCGCTCCATAGTCTCTGGCTACCGGCTCCCGTATTCGAATAGTCGCTACATCATAATTCACGTTGCGTGTAATGGGGTGTGCGAGGTATCTCGTCCATTAGCTCATATCAGCCGTCCTTAGCTTACTTATTATGTTCTAAGCGCATTGTGCGCGGCGCAAAGCGACTTTTTCGCGTTTCGCAGCGCGAAGCACTGTTCGTCCACTGATGATTCGCTGCGGGAACCTCGGTTGTTTCGCGCTGCAAAACATGAAAAAAAGCTCGGTTTCTATCCTAGTGAACCACACCCGTCAAAGGATACTCAGGACGAACTTGCACTTTTACCTTCCGCGGACTCTGACACCAGCCGAAGCCTTGGGCAGGGAAGGAGGGAATCCAGGATCATAGCATTTTTCATCTTCCCAACGTTGCTGCCCATTCCTAGGCTTAGTACTAAGGGCGCGAACGAGCAGAGATCGCGCGCGGCGACTGGCCCCTTCGAGGCCGCATTGCGCCAATCTAGCTCGTGGCCTAATAGACCGAAAAATGATAACAGAGATGAAAGGATGAACAGTTGATCTCTGCAAATTTTTGCCGGGAGACAAATGCTTGCTTTTCTCCATTTGACATCAGCCAGTCCTTTATGAGTCCACAAGTTCACTCTTGCAAATAAGATCGTCGCAGCGTTGTTACAACGCCTTCGCTCCAGTTGTTTATTGAACGCTTGGAGATATTGCCCAGTCGTTTTTTCCGTCTTTCTCATACGCCTGCAGTTTGTCAATAGTAACATCCTCGTAGGACAGTGATTTTTAGAAAGAAATCGACTTTCTCACAGTTTTCTTACAATTCTTTTTTTGTTTGACATAGGTAATTCTCGAACTTCGAACTCACATTTTGTTTGCAATGATTTTTGTTTTTGCGGAACCACTTTGGCGATAATTACGCAATGCAGTTTCGTAGCGGCTGTTATACCCAGGCTTACAAGATACATCGAGCAATGGAATTACTCTCCACGACAGTAGAGGAAGGGTTGAAGCAGGGTGAATATCGGTCGAGGAAATCCTCGACAGGGGGGTCGTACCTGTTGGGCTGGTCCATGGGGGGTCGTACTCTTGGGGGTCAGTAACAGAAGTGGTATCATGGTGCAGATAGGTAATAGGGTATAGCGCAGCAGAAAATGAAAACATCCGAAAAAAACATGATATTAAATTTTCTTTGCAGGTTCAGTCGCTCCATTCCTCCACCTTCATGAGAAGGGCGTATTTGAAGGCAGTACAAAGAATGAAAGTGCATCCCCGCAAAGAAGAGTGCCACATGTGCGCACGCGCTGCAAAGGCACCTCCTCCGCCTATCACTCGCTCCTTCTCCCTTAATACCTCGCTGAGAATGACGCTGTTGTTAGGGACCCTGTCGGAAAAACGACAACCGTGAAGAAAAAGCGCTGGGCAAATGAAGTTGTTTTTTAGGTTACAGGAATAGCACAACACACTATGTCTACTACAATACAGTTTCGTTCGAAGGTCCCCATCATATAACACCTTTCAATCGATTCTGCAACTGTGAGTGGAGGAGGGATGCATGGCTTATACCAATACCAAATCGGATGATGACGATTGCTCCTATTCTTATTGTTTGCGTTCAAAGATATTGTTCTAGACACATTCCGAGTGTTGCCAACGACGAGTCACACTTGCAATGGTGAATGAGGGAGCGGATTTCCAGGTGGCCGGATCCGACCTCGATAGATCCTCGACGCAATTATCTCTTCAACCAAAGCTGTAGAAGAAAACTAAACAGACCATCAGGAAGCGCAAACCTTCCGCTTTCCAAAACTATCTTCCCTTTTTCAGGATCTTACAATATAAGAGATATATTGCTCTTGAAGTGGCAAAAACTCGCGTGAAAATTTCGGCCTCCTCGACATTTACTCGACGAAATTTGACAGACCCTATCTTTCTGCAAGGAAGGCTTCCAGAGCAATTTCGATGCTTGTTGGAAACGCGAAATCCAGCTCTATCTAACTCTACCTCAAGCTGCTTCAAAGGTTGTGAAATGGAGGAATGCAACCTTTTCATCGAGGGTGTAGATTCGGACGTTTTTTTTTGAAATTTCGGCAAATCTGACCCAGTGACAATCGCGCCGCAGCTGCCGTTGAATCGGCCTTTGATACACTCGGCTGTTTTGATATACTCAAGCAAGAATCAAGATTGAATCGCAACCCCGTGTCTTCAGGATTTCTGTGCGTTTCTGAACGAACCTCGCCTTGAGGTCACACAAAGTTAATGCCTCTTTCCTCGAGTCGATATTTCAGTATGTACACAAAAGTATGCAGCGATGGAAGACGTGCATAGATGACAAGATGAAGCGTCCTTAGCATTATTTTGCAGAATTTTTTTTGATTGTTTTGATTTTTTTTGATTTGTTTTGCAGGATTTATTTTAATTGAATTAATTTGCTCTGTTAGAGGGGGTCGTGCCAGGATCTCGATTTCGGGGGGGGGGGTCGTACCTCTGCGACCACGTACTCGACACGATTTTCACCCTGGGTGTGGATGGGGGGGGGGTGGTTCTTCTAATGGACGCTGCAACAAATACAGCGGCGTAGAGGTATCAACGTAAATGTAGATAAGGCCCACCTGAAGTATTTTACCTGTGTCTTTATTGCTTCGGACAAGATGTACTAATGAGGCTTAATATTAGTTAGCGAAGATACATTTAAATGACCAGGCCTGATCCGTCAAAGCGCAGAGTTCACGTATGCATGGTAATTCACTAGTGAAAACTTGCCTCCTTTGTTCACGCAGTGATTTAGGGTGAGGTACTGGAAAGGTATATTTTGAGATACGTGCTGCGTGTCATGATAACATTTTCGAAATCATTCCGGAAGAGTCCTTCGCCCTTCACTAGCCATCTCAGTTGGGACATTTTAGCGGGACTTTATGGTGATGGTCCTTCGGCGCTGTTTAAGCAGCGAAGCGGCGACCTCTTACCTTGACTGTCGTTCTTGCGCAATTACTCTGCTCTTTTACTAGAAGCATTCATGGTTCTGAGCTCGTTGTCAAGCGTTCATCGCCACGAGTTCCTGGAACGGTCCCTTGCTCTCTTGGCTCCTGGACGAATTAGATAAGCTGTGCAGCCTGACAGCAGCCGTGCACGGCCATTTGTGGATACGGTGTTTGTGTCACATCAGTATAAATAAGGGAACCTGTCGAACCCAAGTCGTGCAAAAATCATAGGCCGATGTCAGACTTTGCGAATCGCGCGATTCGCTAGCGTCTGCGGTCGCGTCGCGGCCAGTGAATCACTCAATTGGCTGGTACCGCAACGCGACCGCGGACGCTAGCGAATCGCGCGATTCGCAAAGTCTGACATCGGCCATATGGAGGCTCTTCATACCCAAGCGACTGTGAGACTTTTTCGCTTGTTTTGTGTGGTTTTTGTGGCTCCCAGACAATACCTAACCATTTGGGCGCGGCCGCGGCGAACGCGGCCGAGTTGATAGGTGCCCGCGAACTCAGCACAGCACAGTTCGCGGGCACCTCGAGTGCGTTTTCAACGGTTCGCGGGCACAATCGACTCGGCCGCGTTCGCCGCGGCCGCGCCCAAATGGTTAGGTATTGTCTGGGAGCCGGCGTATAAGATAACTTGTAATGGCTGTATATGGACACATGTGTTGGGAAGCATCTCGTCTAGTCGTAACGTAAGCAGAGATCTTCCATGTCTACTTGCGCCTAGTACTGCCGGAACCCCTATGGACGAGTAAAAACACATCTTAAATGCTTCGGGAGATGGAACTATTTGCCATTATCGGTTGTGGTCATCATACCAGCGCTGCTCCTTACGTTTCGGCATACATTCATTTCCTTTGCACCATCGCAAGTGACTGTACTCCCACCGGAGTAATGAACTTGTTTATAACTGCCTAGTGTCAACATAGATGCCCTTTTCGTGCTGTGGCACACAGTCCTCATGATCTTCAACTTGCCGACGCTCATGGCCATACAAGCCAATGCTTGTTCATTAAATTATGTGTTGAGGTTTCCTTGGCTTTGCTGAATTCCATTTTCTCTCGTCTCAACACAGAACACTTTTGTCCATCTTTTGAAACCCAGTTCTGTAAGGCGACTTTAAATTGTGTCAAAATGCTTCTCTCGTCGAGTTGCTGTCCACAAGGCCGACCTTAGGTTTTTTGCTGACCAGCCGCCACTCTGGCCTCAAGCCACGTGAAATGCAATGTCATTTTCGAGACCGCTTTCTGGAATACGACTTTCCTTATTGAACTCTTCTGTGGAAGGCAATTCGTGTTGTACTGTTCGCTTCTATTGCGGCAGTTCTATACCAAATCGAATTGGTTTTGTTGCGATGTCGTGGAAAGTCGTGCATAGAGCGATATGAAGTTCCATTCAACCAGCATGAAAGCTTCCAATTGCAGGCGATGCTATCTCGGTCACTTCGGTCCCTGTGCCGTACTTCGGTGCTCTCTTCGTGAGTTATTTCTTTGCTTTTTCTGAGTAAGGTACTAAGTTTTTTTATTCGTAAAGGTCAAGAGCAAAGCACAGTCTCCCCGATCTTCCATATGACTACAACGCTTTGGAGCCCGTCATCTGCAATGAGATCATGCAAATTCATCATCAGAAACATCATGCCACATAGTAAACAATCTGAACGCTTGTGAAGAGAAAATCCACGTATAAGCTTTTATCCAAAGGTGAGCAGGCGTTCTGTATCTGCTTTCGTTGTTTTTTTACTTTTTACTATGCGTTTTTTGATTCTCCTCCTTTTCTGCTCATTGTTTTCTCATTAGTTTTGGAATGACGAGATCGGTCCTGTATCTCTATTAGCAGCCGGTGTAGCTTATTGGAGCAGTTTTTTAGTTTTACATGCTATTTAGGTAACATAAAGGAAGCTATTGCTCTGCAACCAGCACTGAAGTTCAATGGTGGAGGCCACATCAATCACTCCATTTTTTGGACTAATCTAGCGAAAGATGGAGGAGAGCCAAGTAGTGATCTCATGGCCGCAATAAAGGTAGTATCGCGTACTTCACGGAAAACTGTAAACACCAATGATGAGAGTGTTTATTTCAGCGAGACTTTGGATCGCTAGAGACTATGCAAGAAAAGTTAGTTGATTAGTTTTCTTCAAAAAAAAGTGATTTTTTGTTTAGATTTCGATTGTTTGGAGAAAATAAGAGATTAAACTAGAAGGTATATCAAAAGCTTAAAGAGTTAGTGGTAGCTGACTGAGATTAAAGACTCACTAATCCTTACGGTGACGAGATGTAGAAAAGATCCTTCGGACGAAAGAGCTGAGTTCTAGAGCAGAGAGTGTAGAGCAAAAAAAACTAAAGTGACCAGTTCTGGTGGCGCTGGTTAACACGAATGGATTCATTGTAGGAGCTCCAGTGCTTCTTGCTTACCTGCGTTCAGGCTCCGCCCACAAAAAATTATTAGGGGGTACTGTGCTTTATTTAGCCAAAAGTAGAAAATATGTTACAAAAAGAACAATCTAAAAATGTTTTCCCACAGTCTTCCGCAAAAGATGCGTTCTTCTCTTCGGTACAGAGAAGGCGCTGTGAAACGGGAAATATTTTCATGCATTCATTCACTTGTAGGTTATTTTGTGGTCTTGAGAGCTTTTTCTGGTGTTAAAAAGGCAGAAAGAATCAAACTGCTTTACTGTTTAAAGGTGGAAAGATTTTAGAGACAAATACGAAGAATCTGGGATTTCCTAGTTCGAAATCCTAGTTTTTTGGGCTCAGTGGCTCAGTTCAAGTCTTCCCTGCCTATACTGGGGAGGAAAATCCTGAAATTTGCAAGGGGAGGCTGACTGAGAAATTCTGGGTTTCATTTCTTTGATTTTGATCTGTTCCGAGATGTATTTACTAGACTGGAGTCTAAACTCATTGCTGATAACGAATGAGAATTGAAATTGTAAGATTCAACAATTTTTAAGAAGATTTTCCTTACCAGAGTGTAAAAATGAATGCTTCAGAGTTTTATTTGCTAAACTGGGCTCAACTGTTGAGCTAACCTCTAGAAACACCTATAATTGTTCAAAAGTGTTAATTTATGCAGAAAAAATCGAACTACTATTCGTTTTGGGATACGCCATGTACGGATTTCTGGAAAGATATTAAACTATTGATGGGAAGGTTACAGATTTTATTGACTTTGTTCCCATGCTAAACTAAATGAATAGTTTTATTTTCCTACCACATGGATTGAAAAAAAATTGAAATTAATGCCCGCAGATAACGCCATGCCCATAGGTAACCTCCTGAGTTGGGGAATTGATGGTAAGATTGGAACTTTTAAAAAAAAACAAGTTCTGCACTCCAAAACAGTTTGAAGAGTCACTTTCTTTTTGTTAATGATGCGCCGTGTTCTGTGCTAGGATCGGGTTAGCTTTTGAAGGAAAATATAGAAAAATTACGATTTTCTGATTCGAAATCATAGATTTTAGACTCCCTGACTTCCTTGTACGCTTCAATGCGCTTACTGGAGAAGAAATCCTTGAAGTTTGCAATACTTGGCTAGTTTGAAAGTTTTTGGGCTCCTATATTACATTTTGGTTTTTTCTATGCTTAATCTGCCAGAACAGAGCATAAGCTCATCACTGATGGCGAATTAGAATCAAAATTGAAAGTTTTAACAATTTTCGAGAAGATTATTCTTGATAAAGTCTAAAATTGCATTTTGCGGAGCTTTTGTGCTAAATTAGCTTTAACTGTTTAATTAGGCCTGCAAAAACATTCATATTTGCTCAGGAAGGCTAGGTTAAGTAGGAAAAGTGAAATTACTACTAACGATTGGGTTGCGCCATGCACAGGTGTTTCAAAATACTAAAATCTTGGTGGAAAGGTCACAGATTTCATCGATCTCGTTAACATACGTAAGAAACGATATAATTTCATATTCTCTATTGCGTAGTTGAGAAAAGTGTGAGTAATTGGGATTCGCTATGCCATGGCTATCTGCAAAATCATGGAACTGATGGTAAGGTTTGGAATGCTAAAAAAAAATATTGCTCTCCAGAACAACTTGTAGGGTCGCTTTGTACTTGGGATGCGCCGTGCTCTCCACTAGGATGAGGTCGGCATTGAATCGATGGATTACATCTCTGAGGAAATTTCATGTATTATTCCTTTTCAACATTTGGGGCTCTAGGTTCGATCTTATCTTTCTTGTTTTCCATATGGTATGATCAACATGCTTAAGAAATTGCGATTGTTATCAGATAACATATATTTTATATAAATATCACTTTTATCCGAACAGTGTTGCTTCACCGTATGAAAAAAGGTTAAAACTCGATGTTATTGAACTAGAAATCGTTGAGTGCGCCATGCATCCAACCTTCACTTGAATTGTTATAATGTTTGGAAGATCTAAGGTCCTTTTTAATAGATGTGGGGATCATCTATTGTATACAGATTAGGGATACATCTGTATCTGGGTATCAGTCCTGACTAGCGTGTAAAGTTGTAAGAGACTTATGCAATAACTACCGTAATCCTACGGTGGGAGAAAACGCTGTGTCCTGGGATTAGGAACATTACGTAACAGAAACACAGATATCCGCTCCGAGGCGGCTGTGTTTGGGTGTTTTGCCATCCAACGGGTCAGCAGATTATGATATCGCAATGCGGTTACTCAACTTATTATTCGCGAGCGCAGGGCAGTTGCATAATTGCACGGGCTACCGAGCGGCTTATGCAATTTGTTTTTCATGAATGCCAAAGCTTCTGCGCAAAAGTTTATTATCCACATATGTTGCGTTTTATCTTCCGCTGACCTGAGGATATCTGGCGGGGTGAGAGTAGCTAATTCTCATTGGTTGGTACCACAACTACATAGTACCGTTTAGGTCACTAAGAGGCAGTTGATTAAGAGTCGAACTATATGGCGAGCGAGTCTTTAGATCAAAATAACGGCAAAATCGGGTTTGAATTAATGAACTCAACTCTCTAGATCGTTCTAGAAGAGAGTGGTGGTTCCTTAAACTGAAGGTGTACCTTATTGATTTATAAACTCAACTCTATAGATGTTTCTATTAGAGGAGTGGTTTCCCTTAAACTACGTGTAGTACATTACTATCACTGCTAGGTACTAAATTATAATTATTACTGGTTTTTCAATGATGGGACGAGATATTTCGCTCGAGCCAACCAATTATCATCGCGGTAAACTCAAAACAGATTGACTGCGAGACTTTGCTCGGTGCTGTCGAGTTGGAAATAATTAAACTTAACCCCATAACTTGAAGAAAAAGAGTTTCAGCCCCAAAATCAGCTAAAGTGAAAGAACTAAAGGACATCATCTAGACTGGAAAGGAAATCGTGTTCCCTGTAACAGTTTTCTAGGGTTCCTAAGAGGGGCTAATTATGCTGTCTGGTAATTACTGCATCAAAATTGTGATTTTGGCCAATTTCAGTGAGTATAAATTGGGTAGCCGTAGAAAAAGTGGATCTCGTCGCCAGGACCATTTGTTATTTTCAACTTGAATGCAACACTGTGCATGTGAAGGCTTTGGTAATCCAAATAGTGCTTTTGATGCACTGGAATCGAATTCCGAAAGAAGAAGGAAGAGCGTCCTCTTCAAGATTTTTTTCTTAGATTTGCTAATCTGTTATTTTGTATTTTTTTAATATGTAGGATTAAATATGTCAAGAGATAAATATGTTAAGGTTAAGATTATTATATTTTATTGAGAGTAAATGCTTGAAGATTAGATACTTTCAAAAGAAATTCTTTTTTTTTTCATCAGATCCGGTGATCTGTTCTTTCATGTTTTTTTTTAAATATACTGGAGAAAAAATACAATAGGATAAAAATAAGTACCTGTATACAAGTAGTCGTCCTTCCTAGGTGATGTTCCTATGGTCTTCATCTGATAGTGCACTGTATCAAGACGAAGAGGAATATCATGGAAAGTGGGGTGGTGTGTGGGGGGTATTGGGAAGAAAGTTATACTCCCTTGTAATTTGGTATTACTTATTCGGAAACTACTAAAAAAATTGTTGGAAATTACTGAAAAAAAAATGAAAAATTATCTTCCCGAGACCTCCATATCAGATTATAGGTTGGCCGACCCTTAATCTGAAGGTGTGTAGCGGTATTTTGGGGAATACATAACATTTGGACTATACATCTTTATTACTTATTAATGATAGAAGAGATAAGGGTGAGAAAGGGGGAAGGGGGAGTGAGTGCCGGCTGACGACTGACGACCGACGACTGTCCGTTGGCTGGTGACCTCTCCTTAAGTACTGTCTCTCCGTGTGAGGTAGGGCGATGGCAGTTGCTCAGATACCGTAATCCTGAGCACATCTCTTCAACGACGACACGGACGAAAGGCCTCTCCCACTCAATTCTTACGGACGTTTGTATTGAAATTGGAGGGCTACTGCAGCACACCACATGATTCAAACTGACCCCCCCCCCCCCCCCCCTGAAAAGTTGTAAGGAAATGTCGAGGAATGAGAACTCTAGAAAAGTTTTGCGCATATTCAGAGAAATGTTCTGCATCAAAGACTCAGGCCGCGTATGGATTGGATAAAGCTAACCATGCGTAATCACTTTAGATCACTGGTTTGAAGAGAAAGCGCCGTTTCATTTCCTTCCATGCGTTGTTTAAAGCAAATCCCTGTGATAACTGTAGATTCCACTGTGTATGCTTCGAATTCAATCGGGTAGGATAAATTAGCGTCTAGATATCATGAAAGATTGCTTCCCTCCTTTAATTTGGCATTCAATAAAAATTGTCTTATACCGAAATGCTTAGAGGAAAGGGAAGTACGCGGAGAGATATCGATTGAAACGAAAACTGAGTAGGAGTATTAACTAACTTGTTATCCTGGCAGGACCCTATTCCAAAGATAAACGGAAATTTTGGTCGTGTCAATCCTTGTTCCTATTAAAATAGTTGTGGCATCCGAGTTGACGTATTGGGTTGTCTCATAATTCCTGTCGCAATTTCGACACTTTTGTTTATCCAAGTTTTATCTCTTAGGAAACAACTGATCAATACATAACCACCATCATGGTCACTGATATGCGTGCATTTGCTAGTGAGCGTTTGGAAGCTTCCAGCCCAGAATGAAGGAAGCTGGGGGTTGAAGAATTTGGAGAAGTCGTTTTTGGGGTGGTCGCAATCTTTAACTTTCTTCTCTGGCAGATGCTTATTCAGGGCGCAGGGGAGGCGATAGTCCGATAGAGCGATGCCAATGCTATATGGTGGATGAGGTATCGTGGCCCTGGCTATCTCCCTCAGAACGTGGTGAGTTGGCATTGCAATGTGAGGTCTGGCGTACATTCGGAGGAAGGAGGATCTGAGACGTTTCTGACGATTCCCTCGCAACCCCGAAGCCAGCCTAGAGGGCTATTCCGCGCTGACTTTAGCAATGCTTGTCTTCATACATTGAAGTGGTTCCCAAACCAGGCCACCTAGCGAATCCAACAAAACGAGAGCGATATTCTCAGAAAACGGAGTTCGGGCTTTGGTTGAGCTGGTGCTTCCTGGCTGCGAGGCAGCCATCAGACGTGCCGCATGTTGTTGTCGCAGTGGACTCATGACTCATTTCCACTGGTGACCGATTAGGGAAGGCTCTGCTTTTGCCGTCCCACAATGTGCCTTCCAGCTCTCGGCTTTTGTAAAGGCTCCGAAGAAGGCGAGTGCGCCGAAACGTAAGCCGAAATAAAGTTCTATACCAATCTCGGAAGCTCGAACAGACAACTACAACGTCCCATAATGGATTTTCCCAGATGGTCAGGCGTGCTTCCCGCTCATGGTCGGCCGGACCATAAGGTTTCCATCAAAACTTCATTCTGCAGCAGTCCTTGCCATACTGATGGCGTGTGCTGGTGCATCGGCTGCGCTCAGGTATCTGCTACAATACCCTGGTAGCAACGTGCGGAGGCACTCCCAATTTAGGGTGCAAGGGGCGCTCATCAAAAATGACCGCAGGCCCAGTATGAGGTTGAAGTTCATAGCTCGTTTCGTCTTTGCCGTTGCGATTGGACCACTAGCTCAGTACCCTATCAGTAGCAGAGACTGGTCAAACACAGCGCTGGTCTTCTCTGTTGTCCTCCTTGCTACAGAGTTCATCGTAAAGCATAATCATTCATTATAGTCACTGACCTATTTTTATTCCTAGTTGATTAACCCATTACGGGCTTGCGTTTCCGAAACGCTGTTAAGGCTCTTGAAGCATACTTCAACATACTAACGTATTTCGCAATGAAACGGTCTTAGACGGAAGAAATTTGAAATTGAATAGAAATGCGACAGGAATTATGAGACAACCCAATATTCTACCGACTAGAGGTTCTCGAGTCGTAGAGCCAGCATGTAAATTACTCGAAACTAAAGAGAAATTGGAATAATAACAGGAAATATCTGGTTCTTATGCTAGCCTCGTTATTTTGTTGGCACCCGTATTTCTTACGTTTATTGACCGATTTCATGTTTGAAGCTGCTAAAAAGCTCTTCATTGAAAACCCAACACACTTGAGA